AGCAATAGCTACTACAGAGCCTTATTTTTCTTCACGTCTTATACTCCTTTCTTAGTATTCTTATTATGGCACGTTAACAATAGTTCCTTACTATGAACTGTCCTTTGTTGCTGTTCCTTACGAATTAGCTGCTTGCTGGCATTTTTCTCTTCCTGAGGCTTTTTGAATGACAAGTGTTGGGCAAATTTTCATCCCTTTGGGAAATGTTTTGACAGACACAGGCAGTTCCCCTCCAGAAAAAAGCTGGAGAATTAAGTAGATACAGAATACTGAGCAGAATGGCAACCCACATTACCCAAAACAGATTTTCACTGTGTTTATACAACTAATGTTAAGCTGCACGTAGCATCTCTGCTGCAGTACTTTCCGTAGCCGTTCACTATGTCCTTCCACGTGCCCCGGGAAAGCACAGAGGGCCTGGCTGGGCCTTTCAGGCAACAACACCCGAAACATGCATGGCTGGAGGTGCATGGGTGGGCTCCTAACATGGAGGAGAGAGAAGTGAGACCAGCCTGAGACTACCCTGGCTGCCAATCACCCAAGCAAACAGGCCACATCCCTGCATTGTCCCTTTCATACTGTGGTCTTCTCTTTCAAATGCTCCATGACAAAATTTAACTCTTACAAGCTGGAGTCCTGCTGTGGGCTGACTTGCCTGAGCTGCGACTACACAGGCACAAACCAAGGAAGGATCTCCAGAAAGTGAACTTTACTGAAACTGGCTAAACATGTAATTTAAAAGTAACAATGACTGAATAACTGCTGTATATATTAGCTTTTCTTATTCTAATTACCATCCGCTGGTGACAAGCATCAGAGTCAACTCTGAGGAGTTCCAGGGCTTGTGCCTTTAGCCTTAAGACTTACAAACATGAAGATCTTTTGTCATCTCAGCAAAAAGTCTACCTGAGGAGCTGCACTGTCCACAGAAGTGCAGATACTCACCTCAAATGCATGTATAGCTTGGAGATCTGAGACTAATCAGGATTGATCAGAAACGGGGGAAAACCATTTCCCCTGCCACTGTGTTGAACCTGGCACCCAAGACAACATGGCCTGGGTGGGATGTAGTAACCAAGGATCCTCCCATATAAAGCTGAATTGGCATGTGTAGGTGGGAAGGAGGGAGGCAGCAACAGGATCACCTTCCTGCTCTCTAGCAAGTCTGTGTGCCCTTTGGGTTTGTACTTTCAGCCTTAGAGTCCCACTAAATCCTCAGTTACATGTTACACCAGTTTTCTACTGTAGTCTGGATAGTCTTTTCCTCATTCCTCATTCTTTTCCTCATTCCTACCATTAAAGATATTATTACCATCACTTTCTGACACAGCTTTGATTTTAATGATTTGTGCCTTTGTCACTGATGTGTTATGTCAGTGTAACATGCTCTTTCTGTATTTATGTCCCAGCCCATGATAACACTGAAATGGCAGCGCACAAGAGTCTGTTGCCATACTCCAGCCTGCAGGAACACCTCTGCAATGGTGCTTCCTGAGTGACGCAGAATGCCTGATGGTTTTGAAAAGAAGTTTAGGGTTAGTGATCTTCTCAAAGCATCCTTAAGTATCGATCTTGCATAGTCATACAGCCACATGCTCACATCCCTACTCAGTGAGGAGGCCCCCGTGCTACTCTCTGCCAAACCCCCAGTGGCCCGGGCGCGCCCACATCCATAGTCAGACTCACAGCCAAGATGCGCCATGGGTCTGCAGAACACAGGGCTGCACAAGCCTCTAATATCATCACACACCAAACATTGTCATATCGGTGATCTGATGGCTACCTGCAAAGCAGCCAGGAGGACAAAAGGTGGATGAGAAACAGTATACAGAGCTTACGGCACTGCTGAACCTTTTCCTGAGG